GGTAGGTAGGTAGGTAGATAGATAGATAGATAGATAGATAGATAGATAGATAGATAGATAGATAGATAGATAGATAGATAGATGTAATTAGGTAGGTAGGTAGGTAGGTAGGTAGGTAGATAGATAGACAGACAGACAGACAGACAGACAGACAGACAGATAGATAGATATATTACCTTTAGCTGCAGAATCAAAGGCTGAATGCCAGCCTAACAAATAAATCAAAACAGATCTGCTGCTTTTTGTAAACATGACGTGCAGAGTCCCAAACAAATGGCATCTTAGAAAGGAAGGGTACGATTGCATTGCCAATTACGTACGTGCATTCAAAACAGTTTGAGGGGAAAAAGCTATTTTTGGCTTGCCTACGGAAGCTGCGGGTGCTCCAACCCTGGAGGTTTTTAAGAAGAGACTGGACAACCATTTGGTTTCCTGCTTGAGCAGGACTAGAAGACCTCCAAGGTCCCTTCCTTTATTCTGTTATTCTGAAATGCCAGGGTATAAGCAAATGACCTTGGGAGACAGAAGGAAAAGCCCTGGACTAGAAAACAGTGGGATAAGAGGCAGCTGACCCCACCGAAGGAAGAGGAGGTTGCAAAGATCTCAGAAGGGAACCTTCCTGGTTTTCCGGCAGCTGCCCAAAAAAAAAAAAAAAAGCCAACACAGTGCTAGGCTGCATTAACAGAGAGTGTTAATACCACTTTACAAGGCCTTGGTAAGGCCACACTTGGAATACTGCATCCAGTTTTGGTCACCACGATGTAAAAAAGATATTGAGACTCTAGAAAGAGTACAGAGAAGAGCAACAAAGATGATTAGGGGACTGACTGGAGGCTAAAACATGTAAGGAACGGTTGCTGGAATTGGGTATGTCTAGTTTAATGAAGAGAAGGACGAGGGGGGACATGATAGTAGTCTTCCAATATCTCAGGGGTTGCCACAAAGAAGAGGGAGTCAAGCTATTCTCCAAAGCGCCTGAAGGCAGGACAAGAAGCAACGGGTGGAAACAAATCAAGGAGAGAAGCAATTTGGAACTAAGAGAAACTTCCTGAGAGTTAGAACAATTAACCAGTGGAACAACCTGCCTCCAGAAGAGGTGAATGCGCCAACACTGGAAGTTTTTAAGAAGAAACTGGACAGCCATTTTGTCCAAAATGGTATAGGGTTTCCTGCCTGAGCAGGAGGTTGGACTAGATGACCTCCAAGGTCCCTTCCAACTTTATAATAATTATTATTATTATTAAAGGTGATGGGGGAAGAGACCCTTTCAACCTTGCATGACTCTGTTAACGTCCACTTACAACAAAGGGACAGAGATGGCACTTCTGGCTGTGCTTCTTATCCGGACTACCTCGCAAGGCTGACACATAAAAGCAGGAGTGACGTTGCTTTCAATAGGCGGCATAAAATTAGCCAGCGATGGCGTTTGTGTGGGAATCAGAGGTTGGAAAACGAAGTTGGAAAATCATCTTTATAGCTAATAAAACTTTCCCCCTCCTGCCTGCATCACCCAATTACGTCTGAGCTTTGCTGCTGCTTGCGACACAGTTGTTGGCTTATTTAAACTTGCCACATTTTGCTGTGTTAATTTAACGTGTAAAGAAAACATGACACACAAAGCGTTCACATTGTTTGTTTTCTCTTTGCCGTATTCCTTGTGCAGCAGGCATCCTCCCACTCCTCGCTAGTCACGAGGGCTGAATTATTAGATGCAGTTTTGCCGTTAGCTAATATTACTTGCAGTGCAAATAGTCCTTTGAGTTACAGCCTTTCATTTAGTGACTGTCTGAAGTCAAAACGGCAGGGAAAAAAAGTGGCCATTTTTTCACACTTGGCAGCAGTCCCCACGGTCACGTGATCAAAACCTGGACACTTGGCAACTGGCTTGTATTTGTGACGGTTGCAGTGTCCCGGGGTCATGGGATCACCTTTTACGAACTTCTGACAAGCAAAGTCAACGGGGAAACCAGATTCACTTAACAACCGTGTTAGTAACCTTCCGTGGTTTCCCCTAACCGGAAAATAAGCCCTAGCATGATTTTTCAGGATGCTTGTAATATAAGACCCACCCCCCAAAATAAGCCCCAGTTAAGATCGTCAGCCGGACGGACGCATTTAGTACCGTATTTCCCCGAATATAAGACCTAACCGGAAAATAAGCCATGATGCGTCTTTTGGCGCAAAAAATAATACAAGAGCCGGTCTTATTTTCGGGGTAACACGGTTCATGTAACATCTGTGGGAAGAAAGGTCGTAAAATGGGGCAAAATTCACTTAACAACTGTCTCGCTTAGCAATGGAAATTTTGGAGTCAGTCGTCATTATACGTCAAGGACTAAATTGTACTACTGCCTTCTCCTCTTGTGGTGTTTATCACGCCGTCCATTCTTGAGGGACATTGCATCGCTGCTTCTGTCAGCTTCACAGAAGGAGGTGGAGGCATCTAGCCAACCTTCGCTGATCTTGAAAACGCTAAGCAGGTTGGGCTTGTTTAGCACTGGAAGAAGTGAAAGAGCAAGAGTAGTGAGGCAAGACACCATGATGTTGTTGTGATTCCTCGCCAGCTAATGGATCCGGCAGCTGAGTCTGAGGAATCAGATGTGGAGGAGGGGCCTGGTGTGACATCAGAGTCAGAGGAAGGCTCTGAGGAGCTCCAAGACTTACAGTCGGCCCCTCTACTCGCGCTCAGGCTGAGACACAACTGTGCTGGGAGCCTGAGTTGGATAGTGATGAAGAACAGTTGGGACAAATCCCGGATGCACAAAGGCGCAGGCAAGAGAAGCGAGTAGGACAGAGGAATGCAATGGGGTGGCCCCAAAGGCAAAGGAGAAGGCATTAGGAAGCCACGCCTTGGCTGCATAATAAAAGGGAAGATGTGGGAGGTGCTGGTTGCCGAAGGTAACCGTTCGTGTTGAGGATCGAGTTTCTGTGGACTGTGTTTGTTTGCCTTGGACATTGACTCAGGTCTGTGAGAATAAAAGGGGTTGGTTTTTTCTTGGGGTTCCGGCCTGTTTCTTGGAAGAGGGGTTTCTCCTTGTGAGCAAAACAAGGACTCATGTGGGCTGGGACAGAACAGATGTATAGTCCCCATTTTCTAAGTGGGCGCCCCATTTTTGTTAATGGAACCTCTCTTGGTAATGAGGATCGCTTTATATAGACTTCAGTAATACAGGAAATTTGAGATCCTGTAAGAACAGCAGATGCAATGGGCTGGGCCTCCTCCAACGTGGTTTGGAAAATCTTAGATTTGTAAGTTAGATGGGCCGATCAAAAAATGTCCCGCAAAGAAGAGGACAGGCAAACCATTAGACCATTGTTGTCAAAAGAACATAGATGTGTCCTTAAAGTTTGACTTGTGAGGGACTTTATAGGTAGTCCTCGATTTACAACAGTTCATTTAGTGACCGTTCAAAGTTATAACGGCACTGAAAAAAGTGACTTACGACTGTTTTTCCCACATATGACCGTTGCAGCATCCCCGTGGTCATGTGATCAAAATTCAGATGCTTCCCAACTGACTCATACTTATGACGGTTGCAGTGTCCCAGTGTCATGTGATCCCCTTTTGCAACCTTCTGATAAGCAAAGTCAACAGGGAAGCCAGATTCACTTAACAACCATCTTACTAACTTAACAACTGCAGTGCTTCACTTAACAACTGCAGCGAGAAAGGTCGTCAAATGGGGCAAAATTCACTTCACAAATGTTTCACTGAGCAACAGAGATTTGGGGCCCAGTTGTGGTCGTAAGTCGAGGACTACCTATATTCACAAATGCTGAATCCCACCTCAGAGTAGGCAATACCCATAGCATCTGCTATTCTTATAGGATCTCAACCTTGCTGTATTACTGGAAGATAATAGCCCAGACCAGGTGTAGGCAACCTTGGCTCTTTTATGACTCATGGACTTCAACTCCCAGAATTCCTGAGCCAGCATGGGGAAAACTTTGGCCCCTTCATGACTGGTGGACTTCAACTCCCAGAATTCCTGAGCTAGCATGGCTCAGCTTGGAAACCTCTCCCTTTCCCCTCAGCATGGCTGACTCAGGAATTCTGGAAGTTGAAGTCCACAAGTCATAAAAGAGCCAAGGTTGCCTACCCCAGGCCTAGACCAAGAGTGTCCAACTTTAGCAACTTTAAGACTTATGGACTTCAACACCCAGAATTCCCCAGTTGGAGTTTGAAGTCCACAAGTTGCCAAGATTGGGCACCCCCGACTAAACTTTCCCAGTCTGTGATTGGTTGGTTGGTTGGTTGCTTGCTTGATATCCCATCTTTTAATTCTGGAGATTAAGACAATGAATTAAGATCAGTGTCCCTTCTTACTACTTTTCCCTCAACTTTCTTGTGATTTAGGCTGGGCAGAGAGAGAGAATGTGCTTAGTCCAAGGTCACTTAGGGAGGACCCATAGCTGATTGTAAGAGGTGATCTACTCACCTCTTAAGTCACAGTGGCTGTTGGGCTGAGCAAGAATGAATGACTCTTAAGTCACATTGTTAGCTTCCGTGGTGGAGGATGGACTAAAATCTAGATTTCCCTGCACCTAGTCTATCAATAAAGCCTACTCCTCTAATGAGTTGGAGCTGCATTACCTTGAATCCTCCTCCAGATTTTGGCCCAAATAGGGAGGAATTCTGGAGGTAGAATGCCCGCCTCATCTGGAGACCCAACTGAGGGATGTTCTCCTAGATCAGGGGTCTTCAGACTTGGACCTTTTATGACTTGTAGACTTCAACTCCCAGAATTCCTCAGCTAGGCACGTTGAGTCCTGAAGTCCATAAGTCATGAAAGGGCCAAGTTTGAAGACTCCTGTCCTAGATGCAAGCCGCCTTTATCTATCAAGCCAAAGGCCTCCAAGAATGCTGATTATGGAACCCCGAGGGATTGAACGTCCGATCGCAGCCCTGGTTGTTGTTTTTGTTCACATTTCACAATTCTGCTCGGCGAAGAAAGATTCTCCCCCACCCCAAAGTTGACTTTTCTCGTTGCTCACCGCAGCCATGCACCTGTTTGGCCTAAACTGGCACCTGCAGCCGATGGAAGGGCAGATGTTTGAGATCACGGAAGACACAGCCGGCAGTTGGCCAATGCCAACAGACGTCTCCTTGCATGCCTCAGGGGGCACAGGGATAGAGTTACCTGAGAGGAAAGGCAAAGTAGCCGGGGAAGGTACGGTTGATGTGTTTGTCCTTCTTGTGTGTCTCTCTGCCTCTGGATTCCAGAGAACCACCCTCATCATAACATCATTGCCTTCCCCTCCAGTTGCCTCTTCATTCCAGAATGTTCTAGAGTCAGTAGTTGTGCACGCACTCACGTTGTCATCTCCCCCTTCTCCAACACTGACCCAAAACGTACATTTTCACTCCACAATCCGTCCAGAGCCATCCATCAAGGGAAAAAAAATAATAATTCTCTTTCATGTGTGTTTATTTATTTATGTATGTTCTTCCAAAACCTTCCTATCTTCCTTGACATGTGTTGATAATTTAAAATAGTTTGTTTTAACGCTCCTTTTTTCCCCCCCACAGGGATACCAAATGTTGATGTTTCTTGCTTAATTACTCTTCGTTGTTGTTGTTGTTGTTTTCCATGGTGATTTTGCTGGTAAAATGTATGCCTAACACCAAAATATGTTTAAAAGCTCCCTGAAACCACACGTTTCGTCCTCATTTGCTATCTCGAGGCCAGATTCTTGAATTATTCCCCATTTTGGAAATCGGTGGAAAACCTACAGGTAATCCTCCAGTTACGATTGCAACTGGGATCAGAAAATTTGGCATTAAGTGGTGCGGTCATTAAATGAGGCATTTATGTGGCCATACCCGATTTCACAACTTTTTTTTTTTTTTTGCCGTGGTGGTGAAGCGATTCATCACACGATCACGATTTGCAACCTTTCCCGCCGGCTTCCCCAATGACTTTGCAAATTCCCCCATTGGAGAGCCTGGATTTGCTTAACGACCCTCTGATTCACTTCATGACCGCAGGGACTCGTTTTACAGCCATTGTAAAAATGTTCATAAAATCAGGTCCCGTCACTTGGCAACTTGATTTACAACGACTCTGACTTTCGATGGACCCAAAATTCTGACCCCAGTTGTAGTCATAAGTCAAGGACTATCTTTAGAAGCAAAAGGAAGCACAATTATGTAACTTTTTTTCCTCAGTGCTTCAACATCTGGAAGTTGTTCATTCCTATCCTTTACTGTCCAAGAGAACGCCATATTTTCTAAAATTTATCTGGCTTCTCGGGATGCCGGAAGACATTGCTACTAGCTGAAAGTAGTAAACTGTTAATTATTCAGAGCTATGTAAAAATCATCCTTTGTTTAGGAAAATGATGGCAACTTGACACCTATCACCATATCTCAGGAGAAAATCCTGAGGTAAAATCCTGTCTTTCCTTAAAGCTAAGTGTTGTGTGCTACAATAAAACTCAGGTTTGCTTCTGCTATGAAAGCAGCACAATTTTCCCCCGTTAAAGTAAAAAGATGGGGAAATTAAGAACTTTTTGTGCCACGCTGATAATCTAACTGAATTAAAACCTGTCCTCTCTTCTCCAAATGTTCTGGCTCATAAAGGAAAAATCTAGAACTCAACTGTGACTTCAGAGCCACGTGCAGAGAGCAATCACATGTACCCGAAGCATCCACTGGGCTGTTTTGAGGGGGAGGGTTGGGTGTTTTTGTTTTCCAGTAATGGCTTTATTAGTTCAGATGTCAGTGACCAGATTCCAGTTCATCTATGTTCATTCGGGGATCAATAAAAACCTGGCCACTCTGCCTGGCCATCACGGATCTCTTTGTATGTTCTCTGATACAGAGATAGAGAAATAGAGTGATAGATGAGAGAGAGAGAGAGAGAGAGAGAGAGGTGAGAGATAGATGATAAATAGATGACAGACAGAGAGGTGATAGATAGATGATAAATAGATGACAGACAGACAGACAGATGATATGATTAACAGCCGGAAGATAGAGACAGAAGACAGAGCGATGATAGATTAACAAACAATAGAGACATAGTGGTAGGGAGGGAGAGGAGAGACAGGGAGGATGAATAGAATAGAATAGAATAGAATAGAATAGAATAGAATAGAATAGAATAGAATAGAATAGAATAGAATAGATAGGTAGGTAGGTAGGTAGGTAGATAGATAGATAGATAGATAGATAGATAGATAGATAGATAGATAGATAGATAGATAGATAGATAGATAGATAGATAGATAGATAGATAGATAGATAGATAGATAGATAGATAATAGCCAGAGGATGGATAGAGACAGAAGACAGACAGGATGGATAGGAGAGAGAGAGAGAGAGAGAGAGAGAGAGAGAGAGAGAGAGAGAGAGAGAGAGATGATTAACAGCCAGAGGATGGATAGAGACAGAAGACAGATAACTGATAGATAGGCAATAGAGAGATAGAGGTAAGTAAGAAGAGGGAGAGAGAGAGAATGGAAAGAGAGAAAGAGAGATAATAGACGAAGGATGTATATATATAGAGAGAGACACAGAGACACAGACCAGGCCACTCTATGTGAACATATGAAAATAAGAACCAACAAGTCTAATTTTCAACCCCAAAGACCCAGAAAAATATGTGGTCCATTGCAAAGGAAGCCAGAAGCCATTCTATGTCCAGAAAAATGAGCACCTTATAATTGCTTTCATCTCCCTCCCACCCAAAGTTTTCCACCAGCATGAGAAAGGAGGTGCTAAAAATGGGGCAGAACAGATCCCGTTAATTGGTTAATGATCAAGTTGCCTCCTGAGATCAGAAAGCAGAAAGTTCAGAAGCCAAGAAGTGATTAGAGGCTTTGTACCCAGATCTCCACCTTGATCCTGCCACACGTCATCCAGACAATCAGACTAAAGATTGCTCAGTGTATTAACCCCCAAAACCAGAGCCTCCATATACAGGTAGTCCTCAACTTAACAACCATTCATTTAGTGACCATTTAAAGTTACAACGGCACTGGGAAAAACTGATTTATGACCCCTTTTCACACTTAAGACCGTCCCAGCATCCCCGTGGTCACGTGATCAAAATTCAGATGCTTGGCAACTGATTCATATTTATGACGGTGACCTGGGGTCACGTGATCCCTTTTTACGACCTTCTGACCAGCAAAGTCAATGCAGAAGGCAGATTCGCTGAACAACAGGGCTGCTAATTTTAACAGCCAGCTAATTTAACAACTGTGAGGAAAGATCATAAAATGAGACAAAAACTCCTTTAACAGCTGTCTTCCTTAGCAATGTAAATTTGGGGCTCGGTTATGGTCGTAGGTCGAGGACTACCTGTATTTTAAAGGGGTTATTATTTGGGACTTTATTCAGGAGCTGACTCAAGACCCAGAAACAATAGGATCCTCTATAGATACAGGTAATCCTTGACTTACCACCACGATTGAGCTCAAAATTTCCGTTTGCTAAGCAAGAGAAGAGTTGTTAAGTGAGTTTCGCCCCATTTTACGACTTTCCTTGCCACGGTTGTTAAGTGAATCACTGCAGCTGTTAAGTTAGTAACACGGTCGTTAAGTAAATCTGGCTTCCCCGTTGACTTTGCTTGTCAGAAAGTCGGGAAAAGTGATCACATGATCCCCCAGGACACGGCCAACGTCATAAATACGAGCCAAGAGCCAAGCATATCTGAATTTTGATCACGTGACCATGGGGAATGCTGCAACGGTCGTCAGTGTGAAAAAAACAGTCATTAAGTCACTTTTTTCAGTGCTGTTGTAACTTTGAACAGTCACTGAATGAAACTGTTGTCAGCTGAGGGCTGCCCGTGCTTGATTATTTTGAGCCTTAAAATGTTGGAAAGCTGAATTCAAAAATTGCTTATTTTAATGTGGGTGAGACGAGACTTCCATTATTAGATGTTTTTGGAACGGCAGCAGAGTTTTCAGTGGTTGTCTGTGCAAATTCCACTCTCTGTGCAAGAAAACGTATCTCTTTTCAGTTGAATGTTCACATACCCACAAATACCGCACATATTTTAAATAAACTAACACCAAAGCAGCTAATCTGTCCACAGGGGGGGATTTGTGTTAACTTCCTAACAGATGGAATCACTTAAGTTTTAAGTAGACTTTTACTGTCTGGAATATAAAAATATGTTACGGCTGCAAGAATATACTCCTCCTCGCCGAAATTCTTGCCATTAAACAGGGTATTGTCAGGGAATTTGGCTACATAAAAAGACTGCGGCTGGAGAGGGAGCGTTTTAATTCTTTATTCCCCAAAAACCACTTCCATTTATTTTTCGATAAAAGGAAGAAAATGACAGCGCTTGTCTCCAACTTGGCATAAGAGCGGTTTTCTTCAAAAAGGGGTGGACTTCAATTCCCAGAATTCCCCAACCAGCATGGGTGGCTGGGGAATTCTGGGAGTTGAAGTCCACTCTTCTTGAAGTTTCCAAGATGGAGAAATACAGATTTAGAGGTTTATCTTTTTGTGAGCTTGATGTATTTCTGAAATTCAGGGATGAATAGCCTGCCCTGTGAGCTCAAAATTACACATCTACAGATAAGTGTGAAGCTCTAGCAAAGGTCACAAAAGCACACCAAGTTGCAGAAATGTATGAATAATTTTAAAAAGGAGGACCCCAAATTTGCCCACTGAGGTCTAGTAACCTCAATGGGGGCAAAAACAGGAAGAAGATTTATTTTTTTACTTATTTCGTGACCGAAGTTACAACAGTACTGGAAAAAGTGATTTATGGCCATTGTTCACACTTAATGACCGTTACAGCATCCCCATGGTCATGTAATCAAAATTCAGGCACTTGGCAACTGGCATGTACTTACGACGGTTGTGATCGCCTTTTGTGACCTTCTGACAAGCAAAGTCAATGGGGGAAGCCAGATTCACTTCACAGGGGTGTTGCTAACTTAACAACTGCAGCAATTCACTTAACAAGAAAAGTCGTAAAATGGGGCAAAACTCACTTAACAAATTTTTTGCTTAGCAAGAGATTTTGGGGTCAGTAAATTGAGGACTACCTGTATTTATCAAATTTACTTCCCTTTCGACTCATGGTGTGAGAAGACACTGAGCGGCTTGCAACATAATAAAACATATGGAAATAAAAGCAATTATAAATTCAACACCAGAATAAATTATAAGATTAAAATGAATTTAAAAAAAACCACAGGTTTAGTGCGCAGAGGCTATGTGGCTTCTCTGTTAATACACTTATAGAAAAGAGACTAAGATGGCCTTAAAATCTTCAAAACACTATTTTAAATTTGGGAGCAAAGAAATTAATAATGAGAAAATTCAAAGGGTGCAAAGAGATTTAAAAAAAAGTTAACTATTAAATTTGCGTGTTCCTCTTCTTTGTGGTTTTTAATTTCATTTTTTCCTACTTTTTCAATAACAACAAAGACAGAAGGAAAGGCATTCATACAAGTAAAACTAACTGTAATTGTCTGAAGAGGTATTTTTCTATTCTTTTTCTTTCCTAAAAGATATTTTCCTAAATAAAGACACAACAGTAATAATAATAACAATAACAACAACAATCAATTGAAGGTAGCCTTAATATGTATTTCTGCCTACCTTGCTCCTGTAAAATGACCATAAAAATGACAGCAGAGGGAAGAAAGATATCTAACTAAATTTATCTAGTATGTAACATTTAAAAAAATAATTTCAGTAATAATTCCAAAGGAATAAGAAGATTGGAAATTTGTGGTTTTACAGCCTCTCAGACTGGGGGGGAAATACCTTGATTGTCCAAAGAGGAGATAATTTTTCAATGAAGAGAGAATCTTCATTTAATCCAAGATTTTGTTTTTATTTTCCTATATCTCAGCAGGAAAGTCCAGTACTTTTTTCCCCGAAGACAGTTTTATAGACACCGGCGAGATTGACGTTGGCAGACGAGTCATGCAGAAAATCCCTCCCAGCCTATTTTGGAGATCTCAGGTGTTCATTGACCATCCTGTACATTTGAAATTTAATGTTTCGTTGGGAAAATCGGCCCTGGTTGGGATTTATGGAAGAAAAGGACTCCCACCTTCGCACACCCAGGTGAGGTGGATTCTGAGGAGATCGGATCGATGCAAATAAAACTAGAAGGATTACTACTTGTGCTTTGAACTTAGTTCGTTTAATTGCATAATAAAGCCCATAGTGGTCAGACTGGGATGGGAGACCACAAGGAAATCCCAGGACTCCTTTATTGTAAAGCTAAAGGAACAGAATCTTTCAAGACTGAATGCCCTTCCCCTCTCTTTATTACAGATAGTTCTCTACTTAACAACCATTCATTGAGTGACCGTTCAAAATTACAAGCTTACTGAATAAAATAACTTATGACCGTTTTCATACTTACGACCATTGCAGCATCCTCATGGTCACCTGATCAAAATTCAGACGCTTGGCTACTGACTCATATGTATGACGGTTTGCAGTGTCCCGGGTCTCATGTGATCCCCTTTTTGCAACCTTCTGACAAAGTTAATGGGGAAGCCAGATTCGCTTAACAACCGTGTTACTAACTTAACAACCGCAGTGATTCGCCTAAGAACTGTAGCAAGAAAGGTCGTAAAGTGGGGCAAAACTCACTTCACAATGTCTCGCTTAGCAACAGAAACGTTGGGCTCAATTGTGGTCATAAGCTGAGGACTACTGTATTCTGTTTTCTATTATCTTTTCATAAGATTTAGAGGAAGCTGGAACCCGTGGTAAATCACCCTAAGGCAAGATTTTAGATCGTTCTGAAGGGATCCTATAGTTTCTCTCATGGCTGTAGAATTTGGTGACCACAGGGGTCTTCAAACTTGGCCTTTTTATGACTTGTGGACTTCAACTCCCAGAATTCTTCAGCCAGCCAGCCTGGCTGAGGAATTCTGGGAGTTGAAGTTCACAAGTCATAAAAGGGCCAAGTTTGAAGACCCCTGGGTTATCACCACTGAGAAGGCCCCGGCCTTGTCTTCACTCCTCTGCTTCAGATTATGAGGGGAAATAGAACAGGCCATTTTCCAGGTGTGGGTATACCTGTGTTAATCTGAGGGGAATATATATTTTGTAGTTTAGTTTCTAGCTTTTACACAATTACAAGGAGTCCTCGGCTTACGACCAGAAGGGTGCCTGCCCATTATGGCTGTAAGTCATGACAGTCGTAAAGCGGGTCAACCAGGTGACCTACCTCATTATACGTCCGTGGCAGCCATCATTAAACGAACGGGGGTCATTTAACAAAATACAGTCGTCATTAAGTGAACACGATGGTCATTAAGTGAACCCATTGTCTGCTATGGGCCGATTTGGTGGGGAAAAAAACAGAAGTAAATGCCAAGGATTTTTGTGTGTGTGTGGCAAAAATATCATAAAAACGCAGTCACATGACCATGAGATGCCACAAATGGTCGTAAATGTGGAGCAGTTACTGATCAACCCAAATACGTTCATGTGACCTCAAGGGGGCCCAGCCATCAGAAAGTCAGAACCAGGCCATAGGTAGCCCCAGGGTAGTCTGCCGTAATTTTGAATGGTCACTAAGAGACCCATTTTACGACTTTTCTTGTCACAGTTGTTAAGTGAATCCCTGCAGTGGTTAAGTTAGTAACGCGGCTGTTAAGTGAATCTGGCTTCCCCATTGACTTCGCTTGTCAGAAGATCGCAAAAGGGGATCATGTGACCTTGGACACTGCAACCGTCATAAGTACATGCCAGTTGCCAAGCCTCCGAATTTTGATCACATGACCGCGGGGAGGCTGCATCGGTTGTAAGTGTGAAAAACGGTCATAAATAACTTTTTTCAGTGCTGTTGTAACTTTGAAGGGTTACTAATCGAATTATTGTAAGTCGAGGACTCTCTGTGACCAGGACCTGGAAGTATAAGGGTGGTCTTCGTTTCAACGCGTGTGTTCTTCCAATTTGTGTATGTTGCAGTTTGACTTTGTCGAGCTGCTGGACGGACGGAGGCTGCTGAGTCAGGAAGCCAGGAGTCTAGAAGGACCACAACGACAACAAAAGGGCTTTGTGCCACCGGCCAGCCATGAGACAGGATTTATCCAGTATTTGGATTCTGGAATGTGGCACCTGGCCTTTTACAACGATGGAAAAGAATCTGAGTTGGTCTCCTTTCTCACCACCACTATTGGTAAGGGCATCTTAAGTTTTACAGATAAAAGGGAATATTTGCATCTCAGGGTTGAACTGAGGGGTCCTTGAAGCTACCGACACTGATGATGTTACCTAGCTGGGTAATGAAACGTTACCAGAAAACCACCAAGTTCAGAGAGCACCAAGGACCCCACATCTATGTTTTCCAGTTAGCCCGATGAACCAGATCCTCTCTTCCTCCCATGAAAACATCCACACAACTAAAGAGAGCCATAGCTAGTTAACATACAATAACAGGTGGGAAAGGACCTTAGAGGTCTTCTAGTCCAACCCATTGCTCAGGCAGGGGACTCTATAGCAGGGGTGTCAAACTCGCAAAGTCATGTGACGTGTCGTGACGTATCGTGACTTTTTTCCCGTTGCCGGTAATGGGGTGGGCGCGATTTCGGCATGACGCATGCTTTATATTTCAAGACAACTATATTTAATATTTGCTAATCCACTTCAGACTCTTCTACAAAAATATACACATACCGTGTTCCCAACCACAAGAATTGTTTAATGGTCTAATTATTATTTTTTCCCCTGGACTACAAAATGATACTTCGTTGTGGGGACCGACATTTCTCCTTGTTCCCCAAGCAGCTTTAGTGTTGAGTCTCCGCTGTATTCAATAACTACCTGAGAGCCATTGGTTGTAATTTGTCTTGGCAGGTTAATTAAAAGTCTAGGTCTGATTAAAGCAAAGTCATTAAGGGATGCAATATAGCATTTATTTATTCACTTACTACTTACCCTGAGAGTTTGTTTAATCTCTGGTTGAAATGCAGTGGTAGTATAAGGCAAGGGTAGGCAACCTTGACTCGTGGACTTCAACTCCCAGAATTCCTGAGCCAGCATGGGGAAAACTTTGGCCCCTTCATGACTTGTGGACTTCAACTCCCAGAATTCCTGAGCCAACATGGCTCAGCTTGGAAACCTCTCCCTTTTCCCTCAGCATGGCTGGCTCAGGAATTCTGGGAGTTGAAGTCCACGAATCATAAAAGAGCCACGGTTGCCTACCCCTGGTATAGGTGGTCCTTGACTTACTGACATTTGTTTAGTGACAAAAGTGACTTCTGACCGTTTTTCACACTTACGACTGTTGCAGCACCCCCATTGTCATGTGATCAAAATTCGGACACTTGTTAACTAAGTCACATTTACGACGGTTGCAGCATTCTGGGGTTATGTGAACCGAAGGGGAAGCCAGATTCACTTAACAACCATGTTACTAACTTAATGACTGCAGCGATTCACCTAACGACTGTGGCAAGGAAGGTTGTAAAATGGGGCAAAACTCACTTAACAGCCATCCTGATTAGCAACGGAAATTTGGGGTTCAGTTGTGGTCGTAAATCAAGGAGTACCTGTTGTGGTGGAAAAAACCCAATGGACAAGACAAGAGACAGCTAACACAAAACAATAATTCTTACTTTAAGATTCAGAGGTTTATTTTTCTAATAATTTGGAACATAGGATAATAACATAACATCACTTACATTAACAACCCATTGCAATGAGGACCATGTGACATGGCAGTTTCCAAAGGACAGCTATAGGCCAATGGTAAATCAATCAGGTCCAGTCCCAACCCTTTATACCCTTTCTCGTTCTAAGACTGTATAGTTTGGGCTATCTTTAAGTCATGTGTGAAACCACCTTTGAATGTTTGTGCATCATTTAAACCAGTGTTTCTCAACCTTAAGATGGGTGGACTTCAATTCCCAGACATCCTTAGCCAACCTTGCCAAGGTTGAGAAACACTGATTTGAACCATTGTGTCTTGTTGAAGAAACATGAGTTTAAAAAGCAGGGTAGCAGAATGTATCAATTTAGCTATATTCTCACCCAGAACTGTGGAATTCAACAATTTGGAGCAGTGTTTTTCCACCTTGTTGACTCTAAGGAATGTGGACTTCAACTCCCAGAATTCCCCAGCCAGAATGCTTATTTATTTATTTTTTATTTTTATTTATTATTTCAATTTATATCCCGCCCTTCTCCCGAAGGACTCAGGGCGGCTCACAACATTATTAAAACAAAGAAAGACCCACACACCCCACCGAATAAAACCAAATTAAAACCAAAATTTTTATGTTGTGATAATTAAAATTTCTAAAAAACCCAGTTTAAAAATCCTCCCTAGGCCAGGCCCGCTTG